AGGATTAAAATATTTCGTGAACAGTGGTCCAAAACCAAAACATCAAAAAATTGTTTTTTTATTTTTTGTTTTGACGACTGTTTATGGTTTAAAACCATAAAAGTTTTTTTTTTTTTTTTTCACAGTAAAATATCGTTTCCAAACGCCTAAAACAAAACGTCTAAAACAAAACGTATGCCAAACGGATCAAACTTAGCTAGTGTTTTTTTTCTCCAAGTAAATAATGACATTGAAATTAAGCTAGTTTTCATTTTGAATCTTCCTTTTTCTTTTTTTTTTTACTTGATATTTTAATGACTTTTTTTCTTTAATTTAATGTAGTTTTTACTAATAAAGAATTTAGGTTAAAAGTAAATTTTGGAATAAAATAATTATTCCTATTTGCTCAACTCTTCAACAATAAAAATTCTCTGTCTTATAATGGATTACTTCATTTTATACCCGAAAATAGGAAAACAAGGATAAGCTAGCGGTAGGCCCTCTTGAAGAAGTTATAGATACTTTGAATATGGAGTACTTCACTTAATTTTCTCTGCATTATTGGGTTTTTGCCGGCATTTATCATGCACCTCTTGGTTGTGTGACCCAATAATATTACCCCTTTCTTATTTTGTCAAAGAACCAATAATATTACCCAATAATAGCTTTTGATTTTTCATTCAAACCATTTAAACACAAATTTGAAATAAAGAGAGATTAGGTGAGCAAAAGTGGGCGGTCGGAAAGAAAATATTAATCAGAAAATGGTGGAAGAGGAGGAAACGAACTTCCCCAAAATATAAAGGCGTGAAGAAAGTGGAATAGAAAATGATGGACCATAAAGGGAAAGTGATGAAGACCTTCCAAAGGAAAGTAGTGGATTGAATTAAAAGAGCGGTTGGTGGTGGATCATATTCCAAACCTGCAAGTCGACCTTTGAATGTGAGCTTTAATTATGTCAAAAGAAAAAAGAGAAAGGAGGAAAATTGTATGTCCAAGTAAATTAGTAGATTGACAGCAAACATGATAAGAATTTAATGGTGACATGAATTTATGTAGGCAAATATCAGAGTCGTGTTCATAACAAATTTCCAATAGGGCTCACTCGTCCCTCTTTCTCTCTCAACTCTCTCTATCTCTTGTTGGAATTTGTAAATTAAATAAAAATTATTTTTTTATTTTACGAATAGAATTGTAAGAGCATTTTCAACTGTTGTGTGTGAGTGTGTGTATATATATAGTATATATCTAATGTGTCATAATACAAAATTTGGATACTTATCTCTAGCTCCCGCCATTATTTTATACCTTTTCTATAAAACTGTATCAGTCAACAATAATTAACCACATTAAATTTTTTAGACACTTGTAATTGTTTTTATTTTTATTATTTCAGAAAATTAGACACTTGTAATTGTTTTTATTTTTATTATTTCAAAAAAAAATTGCATTGTAAAAACTCTTTGTCAATCTTCACTGTGAACACTATAAGCCAAATCATGTTAAATCTTTATATTTGTATGACTGCAATTTTTCATTTTCTCCAAATTAAAGGCCATTTTGTGGTGTGAAAGACATGAATATGTATAGTATTATACATGATGTGAATTGCAATGTACAATACTAAAGTCCAAATTGAATGGAAGAAATACAAAGACATAACACTAACCGTGTGACCATAAAAGTGGTCCTAGCAGAGTTCATGATGGATCTAATTGGAAAGACCAATCACATTGAATTGCAATTCCAGAGTGTCAAAGCAAGCTTTTAATAGTCATCTTGTCACTTTCCTAGGAAAATACATTAGTCCATCTCCCGATGACTAACTCATTGTAGGAGAGAAGGACAAATTATGGGGGTCAAGGCGTATTTCAGACCTAACCCCTCATAAACACTCAAAAATCAATATTCATCGTTTCAGTTGCCTTGAACCGGTTCAAGTTGACTAGACCTAAATTGAAGATTTAAATACTTCGAAATTTTTTGATAACATGTATTTTTTAAAAATATCCGATGTATGCAAGTGTCCTAAGGTGTTATTTTTATTTTTTCGTAGTCTTCATATTATCGAACATGAACAACTCTTCAATTCCGCTACCGATCTCGAACTTGAAATTTGAACTCAGAATTACAACTCAATAAGACTTGCTTTGACAACGAAATTAGCCAATTACAAAATATATACCTCACAAAACATTGCCAGTGATCTGGTCAATCTTTTTCTATCCGTTTTTTTGATTCCTTCATTGTAATGATGACAAGGACATATGTAATTAAGAATAAATTGAACTCATCATTAGTAACTCGGGTTTCAAATAATCAAATTATGGTTGCGTTTTAAGTAAAGAATTTGAACTCAAATAACAAGAGATTTTTTATTCATTAAAGAGTACTCAAGTCTAAATAATCTTACCAAACTGCCTGTGACTCAATGGTATTACGTCATCATTCTTAATGAGGAACGAGGAGGGATGGGGTTTAAGTTCCGGTGTGGACCAATAATTGTGTGTGAATTTTTATCTAATTTATTATTTTTTAAAAAAAATAATAATCTTAATAATTTTGCTTATTAAACTCGTTTCTGAACAATTTTATAATGAAGTAGTGCTAATTTTTAAAACCTTTGAAAGTGAGAGCTGTGAAAGCGGACATGATAGTATTTTGAGGTATATATGCTTATTAAAATCGTTTGTGAACAGTTTTATTATGAAGTATCTTGAGGTATATATGTTTTAATTCTTTTTATCTATATTGAAATTCGTACTCTCATACTTGACCGTCTGAGTTTAATTTTATTATGAAATTAAAATTAATTAATTAAATAAAAAAATATTGTCAAAATTTTAAGATCAATATGTAATGAAGGGTGAGTTATTAGATTAAATGTACATTTTATTTTACTTTTGGTCTTGACTAAGTGCAAACTAAAAAGCAATTGTGAAGAGAAAAGTGTTTTGAAATTTCAAGTGGAGAGAATCCTTTCACTGATGGATAAAACTTGCCAAACTTTGCACATGACACTCTGAGTGGGCCCATCTTATGAATGAGAGATGACTTCAGTGGAGTTGGCAGCTATCAGTTCAAAATATTATGATAATCATATTTTTTTTTTCTTTCATTTTGATGAAAATTATTATATTTTGATACAATCTTCTTCATTTTTTATTTTACAATTTTTTTTTTAATTTTTCTTTTCTCCCGAATAATATCTCAATTGATTATTCAAATTACCTTTATGTGACATATATCATCAATGTGATTGTTACCTTAGTCTGATTTTTATATCCTGAGTCCCAATATATTGTAGTAAAGCCTAGAATGAAGGAGCATTTGGAGATAATCTTTGGGTCATAAATAGCCAACTTGTTATAAACTCAACTCACTATGAATCTGACAAAAAAAAAAAAAAAAAAAAAAAAAAAAAAAAAAATAGAAAACTTCACTTTATGAATTTTTGTAATTCAAAATTAAAATTCAGGAATTCTCTCACATGGTAGTTATCAAGTCAATTTGTTTCTCTTGTACTAATAATGTTCATTGGAATCAGTATAATTTTCTTGTTCAACCATACAGGATAAAGTTAGGTCTTCTAAGAGGTTATGTCTTTTGTTGTATAACTAGAAAATGGAGAAAATGGACAATAGGTAGCACGTACACTTCTTTTAACGTGTTGTGACGACATCATTAATTATGTGACCCATGAATGAGTCAGTAAATGATTTTAACATTTGTTATTGTCAAATTCACATAAATAACAGACACCTAACCTAGGGCCAGGTCTAAAGTGCCCCCACCTATTGATCATAGATTGATTCTCCCCCTCCCCCAACTAACTACTAACCATTGCCATGTTCTGACCTAATTGTTTTGCTAAAACACTGCAATCTAAAGTATATTAGGCGAATCACAACTCGAACGCAATAACCAATTTTATGCATATGCATTAATGATAGTTCTAAAAATTTGATCTACAAATAATGATTTTAGGTGGTGGGTGTAATAACCAACGTATTTATTTTGTTGAAAGAAAAAAATATATTGATCAATGGATTGTCTTGTGCCCAATGGATGCACATTCCTCTGAAGCACAGCGTCCACAAACCCACACTCGTACTACATGAGAATCCCTAATATCTTGCCAAAAATTGAAAATAAACAAGAAAATTGGTGGTGGAGTTCACAATAGACAACAAAATGAATGCACAATTAGTTTTGGATGCTTCCTCAGTTTGGATGTTCTTGCTTAACAGAAAAAGCTCTTCAATTTTTTATTTTTTTATTTTATTTTATTTTTTTCTCTTTGATAATTAGAGAAGCTGGACAAAAAATCTAAGAACATACGCTCTTTGATTTTTAAATAATTTTTTTTATATCGAAATTTCTATTAGTTTGAATTTATTTTTTACTATGAAAATGAAATAAATAATTAAATTAAAAAAATTAAATTAATGAAGGGTGAGTTATTAGATTAAATGTACATTTTACTTCGTAGAAATTGAAAAGCAATTTTTATTGTGAAGAGAAAAGTGTTCTCAAATTTCAAGTGCAGAGAATTCTTCGAAGGAGGGATAAAACTTGCCAAACATTTCACATGATGACACTATGAGTGGGCCCATTTTACGAATGACTTGTATAACTAAACAAGTGAGATGACTTCAGTGGAGGACTTGGAAGCTATTCCTGCGACAGATATCATCAATGTGATTGTGATCTTAGTTTGATTTTTATATTCTGTAGATCTCAATATATTGTAATAAAGCCTAAAATGGAGGAGCACATGAATATAACCTTTGGGTCATGAATAACCATTTTGTTATAAACTCAATTCACTATGATTCTATGAATCTGACAAATAATAATAATAATAATAATAAAACTCACCATATGAATTTTTGTAATTCAAAATTAAAATTTAGGAATTATCTCCCACATGGTAGACCCCATGAGTTATCAATTGACCTATAAATAATGCCTCCCCAATCGCCTCCATTGTATTCTCGTTCTCAACTCTGAACTTGCCCCCTCTCTGTGTGCAACTGCAAACTAGAAAATCTACAAGAACCAGAAGTTCAAAACCCATAAATTTCAGTTTATCTATCTGTCAGTCTGCAAGAATCAAAAGTTCAAAACCTATTACCTATATCAAAACCCATATCAGCATATCATTTCAGCCTCTCCAATCGCCTCCATCTCTATTCTCGTTCTCAACTCTGAACTTGCCTTCTCTCTCTCTCTCACTGCAAGCTAGAAAATCTACAAGAATCAGAAGTTCAAAACCCATATATTTCAGTTTATCTGTCTGCAAGAATCAAAAGTTCAAAACCCATATGGGCATATCATTTCAGATTGTTCAAAAAATCAAAACCCATATCTTTCAGTTTCCATTGCCCGCTGTTCCAGTTCAGGTTCGCCATTCGCAAGCTTCAGCCGATGTCTCTCAACTCTCAAGCTTGCCCCCCTCTCTCTCTGCAACTGCTAACTTTCTGCAACTGCTAACTTGTATCTTTCAGATTGTTCAACTGCTAACTTCACGCAGCCCCCTATCCTACCTAATTTTAGAAATAGGGATCCCTTTAGCTGACTGGTTGCACTAGATAGAGAGGAGGAAGCAGAAACAATGAGTTTTCTTCAATTCCTACAACTGTTCTTAGTGGTGGAGCTTGCCGGAATTGCAGCAACTCCTTTAACAACTCTTGCCAAGCCAGGATGCCCCCTACTATGGCAATCTTACCATGCTTTACGCGTTCGGCACACACAAGAACTGTTCCCTAAATGACTCCTTCCTGATCACATCAGATCGATCCAAACCATTTTTAGCCAATAAACACTTACCTATTTTTAGCATCTCACTTGATGGCCAGTTGCGAGTCTATTACCTGGGAAGGTGCATGCCAGCATCTCACTTGATGGATGGACAGTTGCGAGTCTCTACCTGGGAAGGTGCATGCCAATCAAGAACAGGTAAGTGTTTGTTGGCTAAAAATGGTTTGGATCGATCTGATGTGATCAGGAATGAGTCATTTAGGGAACAGCTCTTGCGGGTGCCGAACGGATAAAGAATGGTAAGATTGCCACAGCGGTGGGGGCAACCGGGCTTGGCAAGAGTTGTTGAGGGAGTTGCTGCAATTCCGGCAAGCTCCACCACTAAGAACAGCAGTAGGAATTGAAGAAAACTCATTGTTTCTGCTTCCTTTTCTCTATCTATCTAGTGTAACCAGTCAGCTAAAGGGATCCCTATTTCTGAAATTAGGTAGGATAAGGAGCTGCGTGAAGTGAGAGGGCAGCTTGATAGAATGAAGACAAGCCAAAGGAGTAAAATGAGAGGACAGCTTGGTACAATGAAGAAAAGACCTGCTCATTCTGTATTGGAATAGCTGAGGGTATAGCTATATTTATGAGTGTTTGCGCAATGTCGATGAAGATTCACAGACCAAGTAATGGCTTCTGCGAGTCTTCTTCTTTTTCCAACTCTTTTTCGTTCTTAAGTCTCCTTAGTCTTCTAACAGAAATAGCATTTTTCTTACTAAGCCAATATTGGAAGATGGTTTTTTTTCTCTCCCATTACTAATCATGGAAAAAACGCGAAATGTATTTGAAAACAGAAAAATAAGAATAATGACAGTTTGAAACTCTCCTTATATCAAAAAAAAAAAAAATTTGAAATTTTCTTTTTTTCTCTGTAACAAAACCATAAACAATTCAGAGCCAATAAATAAAATTAAAATTAAAAGGAAAAAGAGAACTTATCTTGGCCTGATGATCCATCATCAGCCACAGCTGCAACACCATCACCCTGTCGTAAAGAATCCAAAGCAGCATATCGCATAGTCCGACCCCTTCATCTTTACAATTGGTTATAGATGTGTACAATCAAAACCTCAACACAAAAGAGACCCCTACATCTTTAAAATTGGTATTAGATGAGTACAACAATCAAAACCCCAACATATATTTACAATTTTGGGTATAAATCAATCAAAACCCTAACAAATAAATATGAGAGAGAGGAAGAATATATATATATATATATATATATAAGGAAAATTCAATTGGGTATTAATGTGTATAATCAAAACCCTAACAGAAAAATATGAGAGAGGAAGAAAATATAAAATGAAATTTTAACACAAGACGGCATAACAACGCATGAATATAAAATGAAATTTTAACACAACACGGCAAATCTAGTCTAGGGCTTCGAGACTACCGCTGTTGATTGTCATTCTGTCATGCGTTTGTAGCCTGTTCTGAATAGCCAGCCATAATATAAATTTATGACTTGGGATAGGGGGATTGAACCATGCTATATGAGTCCATGTCTTAGGAGAAGGTGGAGGAGATAAAGCTTGGAGGGTGTGAGCCAGTGAAAACATTTTATTCGGAGAAGGGATTTATGCTATCTGATCATCTCTGTGGATTGAAATTGATGGAAAACTGCTAACGGTGTTTAAATCAGGCAGAAGTCTGAGTAGTGGAGAGGGGTAACTACACGAACCATTAGTGATAAAAGTACTAATATATGCATTAAACTCATCTTTATGCTACGAACACGTTGTATCCATTTAATTTTTTGTTATCTTGAATATCATGAATGAGGAGTTGTTCAAATTTATTGAGTTTGGTGTTTGGGAAATTAATGGAATTGGATTTGGCGATTTGGTTAGTACTAAACTTTGTGGCTTGGATGTGCTTCTTTTTCTTTTCCTTTTTGTTTTCTTTCTTTCTAATAATGGATATAATGTTTCTGTGCAAAATTAGGAAGGAGAAAATCCATTTCAAGGATAAGGAGAGCAAAAGTAACAAAGAAAAAACAGAAGGCAAAAGTGTAGGAAAAATGAGGTTTCACCAAATGAGCAAAATACCTCCTTGTAGTATAAAAGTAAGCAAGTCAGTCCATATAGTTTCAAAAGTGGGCAACTTGCCCCTTGAATTTGACTGTCAGTTGTTTTTCGACCGTATTGAGATGCATGTGACTTATGCTTTTGTATTAATTCCAATACTACCCCTAATATAATCGTCATACCCGATTTATGCTTTTGTATTAATTCCAATACTACCCCTAATATAATCGTTATACCCCCTTCCTATATAAAGGCTTTTGCATCCCTTTGCTCCAACCAAACCCATTTATGCTCTCTTGTATCGCATTTGCATCTGCATTCTCTTGCTCTCTCTAAGTTCAGTTGTAGACTTTTATGATAACATTCAAAAATTTTCTATCACAATTGAAAAATCAATTATTACTTCCCCCAGTGAAAATGCTAGTGGTATTTAAAACACAACGGTTATTCACAATTTTCCATTTTTCCAGTATTTATTTGATTTTTCGGATTATTCTTTTTCTCGCCTTGTTTTGCGTACCATGCGCTGGTTAGCGTGCCACAAAGGTTCTGAGAGTACTTTGGGGTATTTCTTAGAGTTTAGAACTCTTAGAAATGCATTTTGAGCCATTTAGGCATTTTTCAAATTTTCGAGCCAGGAGGTCCCGGGTAGGTCCCACAGATTTTTCAAGCATGAGTATTCTTTTTTAGTCCATGGGCATTTCATTATTTTTATTTGGTATATATCTATGTGTTTATGTGTTTAAATATACATTTGTTGCATGGATAATGTGTATATATGCATTAAAGGGCATATTAGGTATTTTAGAGGTCAACGGAACCCACCATTGACCAAGGCTTTTTACAAGGACCACAAGACGACAAATGTGGTCATCTTCTTCATCCACTAGCCAAGCTTCTCTCTCTCTCTCTCTCTATAATTCTCTTTCTCTCTCTAAAACTTACACTTTCAAGCCTATATCTCATCTCTTTCCTCTAGGATTTTGCCTTTGCAATTGAAGGCGAAGTCGTAAAGCTCAACGAGAGCTTTAAAGTGATTGGAGCAGATTTTCATTTGGGTGACATTGGAATTTTCAAATATGGGAAAAAATTGGGGTTTTTGCTCATCTCTTAAGGTAGGGGTTTCTAAAGCGTACAACGTACCTCTGATTTTTGTGAGTTATTCCTTTTGTATTTGTGATATATAAGTGGTGATTGTGAAGCATGATAGTTAAACTTGTAATTGTGATTTATGATATACATGCTTTATGTGCCTTTGATGTGTTAGATTGCATGTTTGTGTGAGCTATTGTGAAGATATATGTTCGATTGATATTATTACATGATTTTCATGTTTAAAGTGCTCTGATTGATAAGTTGAAAGTATGAGAATTGTTGTATTAACTACTTCTAAAGTGTACAAGTATGATTGTAGCTTGATGTATGAAATTTCATGTTGGCATGATGTAGAACTCCTTGGAACATTCATACATTGGCATTGTGGGAGTAAAGGGGAAAGTTGATTTTCGAAAAGAGAAATTGATTTTTGAAAGTTTTTTTTTTTTTTTTTTTTTTGATAAGTATTTTTGAAAGGTTTTGAAAAAATGTTTGCGAAAACCGGAGGACAAGGAGTCGCCTTGTGTCCTTGGGGTTAATGAAACGCAGGGAGATTGCCCTATGAGTGGTTGAGTTATCTAGGCCTCAAATGACACTAAGGAGTTGCCAGGTTACATTAATGGTTTGACAGTTGTTGTGTTATGTAAAGAAATTTTGGAAATGGGGTCGGACATTTGCATTGCATTTCATTTCATTTCATCAAGTAGGTGTGGAATTGTGTGAAGATGATTAATTGGTTTATTTTTTCCCAAATTGACCATGACCCCTTCTTTCTATATCATATTCTTTGTTGTGACTCATGGGATCATTAAGGAGCCCGTTTTAGGCACAACCTACTAAGCTGTTGTACTCACCCCTTTATTATCATTTTTCAAGAATCGGGAAATAATTAATGAACGATCCACAATATCATCCATAATGACAATGAGGACTTCTTTTGTTGACTAGAAGCTAGTTATTTTGAAGCATGTTAATCTTGATGCAAATAGAACTTGTAATCAAACATGTATAATTTTGCCCTAAGCTAGTGTTTGATAGCCATCCTTAAGTATTTTGTGGATGAAAATGGTATTGAGACCATTTTATAAATTTTGTGGTCTCCTTAGGATTTTCTAATCCATTGAAGTAACTTGAACCATTTTGACAAAGAAACGATGTAATCATATTTTGTTATTGCATGAATGATATATTTGATGAGCGCTGAATATTGCATATTCGAGCCCCTAAACGTGCATATGTTAAGACCCTAAGTGATACTTCTACACCGTTTTAGACTGATTTTAGTTTATTTTCTTTTGTAGGTACTTTCCCAAAGAAAAGGATAAAATTGTGATTCTGGAGGCTTAAAGACTGTTACCAAGCCTTTTGGAGTTGTCCCTGACCATATGAAGCAAGTTTGGAGTCTAAAAGGTGATTCTGGAAAAGTTCAAGTGCAAAAGCTCGAGCACAAGTTTCCTAGCTCAAGCACAAAAAGGAATAAAGCAAGAAAAGCAACTATGGCAAAAATGCTCGAGCATAGAATTCTCTGCTAGAACAGAAGTCCAAGGTGCTCGAGCCTTTTCCAAGGAGCTCGAGCATAAACTCCCTGGGAAGATGAAAAGACGCTTCACAAAATTTCAATTGCAAGAGCTCGAGCCTTTCCCAAAAATCTCGAGCAAAAACCAAAAAGTTTACCTATATCAAAACCCATATCGACATATCATTTCAGATTGTTCAAAAAATCAAAACCCATATCTTTCAGTTTCCATCGCCCGCTATTCCAGTTCGGGTTTGCCGTTCGCAAGCTTCAGCCGCTGTCTCCCCCCTCTCTCTGCAACTGCTAATCAAGGTCTGTAATTCTTGTTTTGCAAACTAAATCCTAGGTGAAATTTTTTATCATCTTTTTTATTGGTAATTTTTTTTGTTAATTACCCAAATAGGATTTTCTATGCCTTAATTAGTCAATTGTCAACAGAAACATTGTTAGTTAACTAAAATTGAATTAAACGAGTTGATTTTGGTTCATATATTTTGATGAAGGTATGGAAAAGAAAAGGCTGAGAGTATGTATTTTGGTGGTGATGTTGATGCTCATTCGGCATTCGACACTCTCTTTGCTTTAACGTCTGTATGAACCGTTGTCAGTCTCCACCACCTTCTTTTGATCAAAACTTGAATCCTAACCAAGTTTCGCCATGGTCAGTCTTTCTCTCACTCTCTCTCACTCACTCTCTCTCTCTCTCTCTCTCTCTCACACACACACACTATAACAAGCGTATCATTTTATTCTCCTCAGATACATATTAGATAGGTAAGTACCAACTACACTTAGAAGTTTTTCATATATTGATCTCTTGAATGCATCAATCAAACACTAAATCCCAGTCTTGTTGATTTTTTAATGCACATTTATTGCAATTCTAATTCTTCCAATATTAGATATATGCATTTACTAAGAAATAAATAATGTGAAATGAGAAATATTCTTGGAATAAAAGTCCCAACCAATAAATTTCATTTTAAATCTGGTAGTATTTATATGAACGCATAATTATTTTTTCTTTTCTTTTCTTTTCTTTTTTTTTTTGAAAAAGTATACATATATATATATATATATATATATTTATTTATTTATAAAGGTACAAATCAAAGGGAATAACTGATTATGATGATAACGGTAACGAGTCAAATATGAAGGTTGTCCCTGTGCTTTTGGCCGACGTATCCTTCATTGAGCTATATGTATTGTTTTGTAGCTGATCGTGTAAGATTATTTATTTAATTGTGACCCACATGATTTGGACATATGACATATTACTTGGTGGAAAAGTAAATAGATATCAATTAATATTATTTATTTTTGGTCAACTTATAATTACCTTTTTGGTAATTACTTATTGGAGAAGTGTTTTCCTTTCTTATTCTTTACTTTGATGGAAAGTAGAATTATGTTACTATAAGGAAAACTGGTCCTCTCTCTGCCTTTA